ACTATTCCAAACGATCCGAAACTTTTGAGCGGCGGTGTATGCACCGGTGAGCCTCCATGTTGTCTGACATTTCATTAATATTTCAATTACCGACTCTCGTTTACGATCTGGCAGCGACTCACTGCGAGTATAATGAAATGTGAGTTTATCATTGTGACCGGCGACATCTCGGTCAATCGTAAGCAGCATTCCTATCAAAATTCCGGAATAGATTTACCATAATAAAATCATTACCATTAATGTGCCTTTTATGACGGTGCAATCTACCGCGACGAGTTATCCAGAAGGATTCCAGCGTTAGCAGCTTCATCAAATCCAGCATTCTATTGCCATACGCGCATTATGCCTGGTATTACGAGCTTAATATGTGTTTACGACTGCTTAGAATGCAAAATCAGCGGCAACTGCTAGAGCCACGGTAGAAAGAGGACTCAATTCAATAAGTATCGCTATCGGATATTATACGCTGCTAAATGTTTACTCGATTTCCCGGTAATGTTCGATCGACTCAATAAATTCTCTTGTAACGAAAAAGAAAACAGTTTAGCGCTCGTTATAGTCGTTGATAAACACTTACTCCGCCCCTTTTATCAATTCCCTTGCTCTGTACGTTACTTCGACGCTATCAAAGATCGAAATTAATTTCGAAGGAGCTTGTCTCGCTTGGAGAGTTATTCCGAGTCCACGCGCCTGGAATTTAAGGATCCTTCGCGCACGAAGGAAACTTTAAACTCACTTCGCCAGCCCCCATGTGATATTTTAAGGTTCGCGCGACATCAGGAACCGTAACCCCGTGACCCCGGCAACGGCGGGAGGATAAATCGCTCGGAGGTGGCCGCGAAGAAAATTCGAGGAGGACCCACGGCTGACGCGGAAGACGAAGTTTTTGTCCCCTGCGTCAGGATGCAGGGTCCGCGTTTAATCGCTCGGCCGTGTAATTAATTGGCCACGGTAACGAAGTACGTGCACGGACCCGCGGGACCAGCCGGCGGAATTACAAACATTTATCATCTATTAATTAAGCGATTAGTCCAGCGTCGCTAACGAGTGGCTAGCGTGTGATGGAATTTCTTTGGCGTGCGTCTAATGCCGCTGGGTAATTTCTATCCTACGAACACCGGGCTACAAGGCAATCAAGATAATCGGATTCTAATTCAGTTCATTATAAATGTGGATAGATTATGACTCTGTTTCTCAATTACTGTACGATACGTTACACGTTACTTTACACCGCGAATTGAAGTATGAGAAACATTAACCCTTTCGCAGCGGAGTCCTCCGAGCGTTACAACGGCCGGTCTGTACACCGCTGTTCAAAAGTTTCGGACTGGAAAATTGCAATTTAAGAATGTATTAACTTGTTAAGAATACGCGAGGACTGCTTATAACGAGCATTCGACGAATCGTTCGATCGCGAAACGTACGATTTACCGTCGATCATTTGGCGGACAGTAATATATGCATTTACGATTGTCGTGCCGCGGACCAAACGTTTTATCCTGCGAGAGGGAATGACAATCGTTACACTTTATGTCTGTATAGATATTCGAACGGTGAGCGTAGGTGGCAAAGAGAAAAGACACAGGTAGATTCGCGGGGATATACGACGAGTCCCGCGTTTTGCGCAGGTTCATTGTCGGCTAGTTTCATCCACGCGTAACTTTATCAGCGATCGATCATATTTTTGTTGGTATAAAATAAAGAATTGTTTGCTTTATTAATACTCAATGCATAAGGTAGAAACAATTAAGGAACCTTTGGTGACTAAATACGGAGGATTTGTAATAAATGCGTATGCAGGGGGATTTCCTCGATTTCAAACAGGGGCCTTTGTATACGCCATCGGCGGTTCTTTTTCGGGGCGCGTGGGTGGCTCGTAATCTGGTTTTGCAAGACACCCGTCGCAATTGTCCGGTGACGCGCCGCCCCCACGATTTTCTCCGGTGTTGTCACATAGGAGGAACCCTAAGGTTCTCTACGAAGAACATTACGGAGCGCAGAATTTCGCGTAGGTTGCATCGTGTCGCCTATGAAGCGTGGCGCCACCGTGGCGGGACAATCCGCGTTTATACCGATGTGCCACGCGCTCGTTTTACAACTCGTGCGCGCTACGTGTTTCTACGTGTTACAGTTCCACGCGAGGCGCGTTTATCAAACGGTTGCACAACCCTGTCGCGAAATTGATCATACAAAATACTCCGTTGCCGGCCATTATTCCATTCTTCGCGGAGCGTGGGTCGAGCAGAGGCCAGCGCGCGCTCGATTCAGTAATTGCGAGCAACGGTGCCTTTTTTTCATCGATCCTCGTCCGATCGATGCCTCGGCGATCGGAACCGTGGCGTTCGCGAGAGACCGATTCAGACTGATAAAATTATCAGAAAGAAAGATGACGGCGATTCCGTCGATAATGAACAACGAAGAGGCGTACCATTGTAACAGCGCCGAGGCAACGCGAGGGGGTGAGCGTGCCGTGATCGTGATCGATGTAGATCATTTCCTCTATCTATCCACGGCAATCCTCGCCGGCCAGCCCCGGTATACCTCCGCCGTTCTACGTGTATTTGTCTGTATGTAGATACTTGGCTCGTTCAACGCGATCCGTTTCCGGGTCACGCCATGGCAGGTTGACGCCGGAGGTGCCTATACGTCGTTGTCCCTCCTAGCCGATATCTTGACTCTCTACCATCGATTAGCTGCTCGTGAATTACAGTCTCGGATACGTTGGATAGGCCCATAATAATAATCATCATTTAATTGCAATAATTTTCCATCTTTTCCGACCGTTGCGACCGAAATAAAGTCGTCCGCTATCTTTCGTCGGTACCGCCCGGGGACGAGAAGTTGACTAGCGAGTCTGATCATTAACGGTATAATCTACTTCCTCCGCAGCCCCGTCGGAGTTTGCGGGAAGGAGATTTATACTATAACTAATCAGACCCGACAACTTCTCGACGCTGCGCAACAGTAGTGGAGAACATTTTTCTGAATGACTAATGAATGAAATTTATGTGTACGCAAATATTGTTTGGTTACAGAATCTGTAACATGAAGTAAAATACATTTACATTATAACACGATTAATGTAAATAATATTTCAGTGGATAGTTTACGTCGTATGGATTTTAGAGAATTTCTGAATTCCGAAGTGGGATCTAGAGGCAACGCGGACTCCAGATCGGGAAGCCCGACTTTTATGGTCCGAATATGTCGAAAGAAACTTTTCACCGTGGTATCGCGTCCATTGTGTTCCCACATACATTAAATGGTTATCCAGTTTGCCGTCTCCATACCATGGAGAATACGAAAATGAAATTAGAAAGGAGCATTGTACCAAATAAATAACTTTCTTAGCCCCGTATATATGTTTCCTTTTGTTGACCGTACAATAAGACCTGTTCCAAAGGCAGCTTTAATTGCATAGAAAGGATTTCTTGTGAACCAGTAAAGACACCTGCGAGCAACAAGAGCTCCAACTAACCGAGTCTTCCAGATTACGTAACGATTCATGCCTAACCGAGTGTGGGACTCGTAGTATTTCAAGCGGTATACGTCGAGACCCTTAGATTCAAATCTCTCTTCGACGAGCAAAATCGTATAAACTGCGAAGATACGATCTACATCGACCACGCCTCGGGACTACTCGCGGAGAAGAGCGAACTGTCTCTACCGTATACGTTGAAACGGTTTTTGACGTATCCTCGGGGAATTAGCATAAGGTGCGTCTCGTGGGCTTATCGAGAGTCAGTACCGCGTTTATTTTGCGTATAAACATGCTGAATAACGGAAGCCATCACTCTGCACTGACGGTAGACAATAGTCCCCCATGGTAGAGTGATACCTTATAGGATCTTGGCGTTCCATGTAGGTACTTCTTACACGACCAATTCCAGAGCTCTCCCGTTGCCGTGTTTTAAGGATACTTCGATGGAAAATCCAAAAGAATTTCGCGTATAAGCGCGTACAAGAAATCATCAACTAATCGAAAGAATTTTGAAAAGTTACATGAACGGAACGTATTTTCTTATCGCGTCAATCATCTAAATTGTTGTAATAAGTATAACAATTCGAATGCAACTTCCTTTTCCTTTTTTCTAGATTTGAAAACTACTGCTATAGAATTAAACTGGAATAAGATCGCAACACTATTGGCGGCAAGAATTAAAACTATGTGAACCAAGAATTAATTATTGACAAAGTATTACAGATACAGAAGAGATATATTCGCAGATGAAATTTGTAATGTGCTGAATGTTCTATGGATCTTTCTGTCTCGCTGCTCGAGTATTTAATTTATAGTATTCCTACCATATTCGCGTCGTACGCAACGTTATCGATTCGAAACGAAAGAAGACTTCAGCGCTCAAGCGTTAGAAATAGGAACTAAATACAGCAAGAATAATTACATTTCAAACGAAGTATAGAATAGATTGAGGATTCGAAACAGTTTTCTAATCGTTTTGCGAGATCCTAGGACCCAATTATCGCTTTAGTGTCACGTGCAACTTGACAGATTAAATCACGAGACAGACCGTAACGCCACACACGGTGGGAATTAGAACTAATGAACAGAACCGCGATTTTCGAATATTCGTACGCAAACGAGGAGACATTACATCCAACGCGTCTTTTCGGGAGTATGTATAGTCGCCAAAAATGATTGTAATTGACCTCCGCAGCCAAAAATAATTATTTCAGAATGATTTGAAATTTTTTAATTTTGTCGAAAAATTGGTCCATCTACTTTTCATAAAAACTCATTTTTGACATTCTACGAAAATGTTGTTTAACAATTTTTTGGTAGTATCCATGAGTTCTACTTCATAAATAAATTTCGTAAGCGTAAAGAAAGTTCCGATATTCGTCTAAAAGGTGTTACCATCATTGTCTTCCACAGATTAAGTATTTAGGGAAATTCTGTTATTAAAAAAACAAATGGATAGAATAAACAGAGTTTATGAGGGATATTATTTTAGGTTCGTTGAGGAACTCGCAAGGAGTGTTGAGAAACCATTTCTTTCGTGTAATTTAATTGAAGAAAGCATAATAAATATGTTATCAAGGAATAACAGTATCTGTACAGAACAGCGTGTAACATTATTAAATCGGTCTCATCCATAACGAATATAAAATTACATCTGTACAATTCGAGAATAAATAACGTCGCTATATTTTGTTACAGTAAAGTTTCACGTGTTTAAAGATATTAGGAAGGATTGTACTGTAGCGGTGGTGCAATGCTATACGAATACGATTTACAATTATACCGTCTTGAACGAATCGTAAAGGAAATAAAGTTCTCAGACGGTCGTTCAAGCAATCGTTATTATCTATATAACTATTCCCAGCGTAGAAAAAAAAGGAAAAGGATTTTTACTACTATAAGTACTACGATAAGCGTCTCGCTGATCGATGCAGTGTAACATGTAAAATATGGTCGATTTCAGTTTCCCTTACCATCTTCGACAGGTAAGAAAATAATATGAACGGACGATTCGCGATTTCGTAGCGATTTGGTCGAATGAACGCGAAACAATCACGACCTGGAATTAACGTGAAAATTAAAAATACTTTCTGTCGGTTGCCTCCTTACAGGTAAATTAATTGTGCTCCACAGTCATCTCGTGTAACAAGACGAGTTGATTTAAAGATAACAGTTTAATTAAATAATCTGCCCTATAAGAAACACAGGATGTCTAAATTTTAACTGGCCAAGCATTAAAAATATACTCGAGCAAGTATAAAATATTTTCGCTAGAATTGTACATGAAGATCGTACCAACATATACGTTCGCCATAAATATGAAAAAAAAAAGATTGTCTTTTTGGTACAATGTACGTCGTAATGGAACACAAAAGTGATTGTTGGCCAGCGTAATTAAAATTCAGACAATCTGTGAACGCGCGAGCGGACTAGAGTTACCAATAAATTGTTGTAGCTCTCGAAGCGCTTGGCATATTTTTCTGAAAATTTCCTACGATTAGGTACGCATTTTCAACCACAATCTCTAACTTGAACGTTCCAACACTTTTTTTTTATATTTTATACCTATGTAACATTGTATAGACATTAGCATACACGAATAAAGATTTTAATTAGAATAATATGAACAAGATACGTTCAACGATCGTTCTATCAGGACATCGTAGCGGAATTTGAGCTCGCCTGGAAATTGATTGGCCACTCTAATACGCGTTTATTAATATATATTTTGTCGACAGTTTATTTGTACAAGACGTAGAATGTTATTGCACTTAAACAACGCCTCTCTCGCCGCGAGTTATGTTGCATCGCCATAAATGAAAATAAATTGCTTCCGAGGGACGAACCACGCGACGAGGGAGACTCAATACATATAAATATTTTACGAAAACGGGTTTTCGATCGAAGTTTCGTTCTATTAAGTTAATAAATAGCCGCTAGGTGTGATCACATATAATAGTAACCGTTTTGTTGCATTGATCATAATTCTAGCGAGGATCGAGTTTTATCGAAACTAGCGAGCAACTATAGTCGGATCAATTGGCCGTTCTAGGTCATTGACTTTCTCATTGCTCTATTTGTCGTTACCTCTCCTATTGCGTTTAAGAAACAATTGTCTTTGTTTCGACTAAAAAGTGCAGTTACCCTGTATTTGCGTAGCATTACTGCGTTACTGTACAGAAGACTTGACGAAATATTTGGAAATGGAAGTGTTTCGCGACAAGTAAAGCCCCTTGGATTTCGCCTAAACGTTCGCGAGGTGTACTCTCGAGGACTTAAATGTTCACATAAAATACGCTCCTAATAAATGTCATGGTTACGTAAACTTCGATGCTCGATTATTCCCTTGTTTATAATATTGCTCTGTTCCTTGTTTCGTGTTCCCTTAAAATGCGCAACATTCTCGAAACGTAGCGATTGTCTGGAAATAGCATTGCGCGTGTTCATTTGTTTCGAGAATCGATATTAAAACAGGAAAAGAGTTATTTACCAAATTTTGCACGAAATTATAAGCATTCCTCAGTCATTTTCCTGTCGAGTACTGTTAAATACAAAGTACCACTCATTATTTGTTTTCGATACGAACACAGACATTTCTACAGTAAGAAACAAAATGCTTCATTTTCTATGTATTTAGTCTTTGTCGATTATTTATAACTTTACAGACTCAAAGAATTTTCGCTCTTTGAAGTCAACAGAAATTTCCTGTGTAGTCGATCGATTCGAAGCTTATTCCCCCCTCTCCCAAAGAAATTTCTATCGTTATTACGTAAAAACATCCAAAACTTAATTTCCCTACGTGTATCAGTCTCAAAAGTACATCGAGCGAAAATGAACAAAAAATCAGTTCTTCCATTTTCAACTTTTCTAAGGAAAATCGCTCCGGTGTTCTGCTTACTTGCAACAGATACTATTTCGTTCACTTCGATGGCGCCTATAATATTATCCTAGGTTTATTTATCGTTCGGTAAATCGGCAGGATATTAATCTCCTCGTGGATAAACGGTTCAACTGTACCGGGAGTAAACAACAAACTTATCACGACATTCGCAGGCGAATCTAAGTGCCTGAAGCAGGGACCGATAAGACTATATTTTTAAACCTTACCCTTGCACGATTTCAAATTCCTCTATAATTCGCTTACTAATACTTTAATTATTATTTATTTGTACGTGTGCATAGTCGAAAACATTTATAAAATCTAACGTATGATAAATATATTTGAGATTTCATAAATCTTGGATGCCCCCGCGCCGTGCCAATGAGTATCGGCTAACAGGGCTTAGGTTCAACCATAAAAACCGTCATAAATAATTGCTGCACGCCCCGTACAACGCGATTCTTTGCTTCGCGAGCGAGGCTAGGTAAGTGTCTCCGATTCCAATCAAGGAATATACTTTCAGAGCTTTGTCTATCTATGTTTTGTCTCTCTCTGCATCCATCGACTTGTGAAATTACTGACCAACTAAACGCTGGTTTTCCTATACGAGCTCTTGGCATATTTTCCAAATATGCCGTCGGCGCGCCAACGAAAATGCATCATCGATTTCTGCCTCGAAATCCTGTGCTGCCTATGCTGTCAAAGAATCGAGACGTCCTCCGAATTTCTATTCCTCGCCAACGCGACGCCTTTTTTCTCCTCCATCTGAATGGACCCAGAGTTCTGGCCCCTCGTAAAATACTCCGACGTCATTCCTGGCTGAACGTTTACGTACCTGTGCGCTTTTTCCTCGTTTCCTTCGAAATTCTGAGAACCGCCGATCAGCCCCGAAGACGATTCGTCGGTGTTCAGCAACAGGGGCCTGGAACTCTCAATGTCGCACACTATATCACCCAACAACGACTCCTCTACCTGTTTATCGTCCTGGCTGTTTATATCGAGCAGAGGAGGATTCGGGATCTCCAAGGGACTCGACATCGAGGATGTGGTCTGACGCGGCGTCGGCCAGGAAAGGGAGAACTTTCTGATGTTCTCCGTGAGTTGCATCTCGATCTGACCAGTGTGCTCTATTTGCACGCTAGCCAAAGGAACGTCTAGGCAGGGTGATAGGATTCGAGGATTGGTCGCTAGGAAGTCCACGATCTCCGGAGCGGTTGGTCTCTTCGTATGGTCCGTTCTCCAGCAAGAGTAGATCATATTTTCTCTGCGAAACGTGAGAAAATTTGAGCGCTTCTCTATCGAGAATGGAACACAGAGTCCTCTTGATTTACTTACAATTGTAGTTTCACGCCTTTAGGAACGACCAGCGATTTTCCAGATTGCACGTAAGTCAACACCTCATTGTTGCTCATCCCTTGGAAAGGAAAACTACCGAACGTGATAATCTCGTAAAGTAGAACACCGTAGGACCAGACATCCGAGGCTGGCGTGAATATTCCGAGACCCAAGGATTCTGGCGCCATCCATCTTACTGGCAACATTCCTGAAACGAAGATTTTGTTATCGCTGATAACTAATCTATAGTAAGAACTCCATTGGCAGCTAAATTTAATGCAGCTTCGATTCTATACCTTTTCGATTAAACTTGTAATAATCATTTTCGTACATTGGCCTCGTCATACCGAAGTCCCCGAGTTTCACTACGCGTTGCGCGTTCACCAAACAGTTTCGAGAGGCAACATCTCTGAAGACAAAAAAAAGATAACTCGACAACAACGTCAAAAGAGAAACTGCGGAAACGTGGAAACAGTTTCTCACGATACTTGCCTATGAACATACTTCATTTGCGCTAAGTAGCTCAGCGCCCTGGCGACGTCCAGAGCCATCGCGGTTAATTTTTTGCTAGAAATCTCGTCCGAATCTTCGTAACTGTGATCGTTCACGAGATGCCTTCTCCCAAGAAGGTACGTTTTTAAATCCCCGTAAAGCATGAATTCCATCACCGTCAGCACAGGCTCGCCCTTTATGCACACCCCCAGCAGTCTGATGATGTTCTTGTGGTCGAACCTCTTCATCACTTCCACCTCGCTGAGGAAGTCCAATTTCTCGTCGATGGTGCTTCCCGCCTTCAAGGTTTTCACAGCAACGGCCAGCCAACCTTTATCGGGGAAGGACGCCTCGCCACCGTAAACTGTCCCAAACGCACCCTCGCCAAGCTTCCGATTTATCACCACCCTGTCGCGGGGTATTTCCCATTTGTCCAAGTCGGAGGTGTCGCTCTGTATGAAGTCCAAGCCTAGGGACTTTATATACTTCTCGTGAAGCTTCACTTTCTCTTCGTACCTAACGAAAAGGAATAGAAAAATCATTCGAAACGTCGACGTTCGATCGATGAAGCATCGAATCGGGTGGCTTACTTTCTCTTGATAATGATGAAACCTATGACGAGTACCACACCGAGGAAGCCGATGCCAAGAAAATTGACTATGATGAAGGCTATTTCGCAAGACACGTTCAAGAAATCAGCGAAGCCTGCGATCATGCATCGTTGGGGTGGTTCCGAGCCGTCATCTGGCATGGCTTGCGACAACCACACGAAAGCGGAAACGTTCAAGTCCAATCTACCGCCCACCACTTCGTGTTTCGTTTCCGAGATGTTGGGATAAAAGTTACCGATCAATCGAGTTTCATTGTCGATGTACTGAAGAACGTTTACCACCGAGTACCTAGAAGGTCCACCTAGGAACTTGATCCTTCCCGACACCTGAAACAATCGATCGAACCTCCAATGTTTTTTAATGGATCTTTAACGCCTTGTTTTTTACATACCCCATAAAAATCAGTCTCGCCAATGATGTCCGACAAGCGGTTGATGGTCTGGTCGTTGTGGAGATTGTAAACGTAACTCTGGTTCTCCTTCAGGAGTCGATCCGTCGCATAAGCGTAGGTCCACATGGCGTCGTACGCAAAACCAGCGTAATTCGAGGGTGGCTGCCTGTGATTTCTACAGATCTCTTCGTAACGATCGCGCCAGTGGCGTACCGTTATTCCCTCCTGCATGATGTCGTCGTCCGGGGCAAAATACGCGTGAGACAGACCGAGATAGCCGTTTATAGACTTGCTCATCTCCAGGGTGGAGCAAGGCACCTTTTCGCCTTCTTTATTATAGTGATCGGTGTCGTACCATTGCGGTCGAAGCCAGAGAGGCAGGAACCACACGTAACCCTTTAAATTCCATAAATAAATTTGCAATCGTGAGCCAGTAAATTAATAATTATGAGAGATACAGGTATTACGAGCTGAGATATTATAATATTTTCACCTGTACAGCCGTCATTTCCAGTCTATACGCCTCGCACATCACTTGCCGGGCTACTTGGTCGTAAACGTCAGCAATTATGATTTTCGCCTTCTTCTGTTTCAGATCTTGCAAGTACTGCAAGCAAATTCGTTTTATATCAGTTCCATTGCATTTAATCCCTTGCGAAGAAGATGCGTCCGAAAAAGACGTTTACGGTCGAAACGTTACCTTGGTCATCATGTCCGCCGTTCGTTCCTTCGGGAACTTGGCGTTCGCGACGAACACGATCCCATTATCCCTGAGCATGCCCTGCATGTACGATATGTACTCCGTGTACTTCTGACCGTCCTCCGTCAGGGACGCCACGCGCCGCCAGCCCAATTTCTTCAGCAGCTGCAGATAAACGTGCTTGTACTGATTGTTCTCGCCGATGGTTCTGAAGAAGTACGGATATTTCTCCCGATTGTTGAAGCTGGAGCCCTCCGCGCTGTAACTGATCACCACCGTCTTGTAGTGCTTCGAGATGTCGATCAACGGCTCGACGGTTTCCGAGCAAGCTGGCCCCAAAACGCCGATCAGCTTATGGTAATGATGCTCATAGATGAAGTCGATGAAAGACTTCATCACCATGTCCGACTTGCACTGGCCGTCGTTGGCCAGCAACGTGAGATTGTAGTTTGGTAGCAAGGTGTTGTTCACGTTGATCGCCTCCATCGCCATAGCCGCGGATACCATGATCGATTTGCCAGAGTAGAATGACGCGCTCATAGGGAATATACCGCCCACGATGAGGGTATTCTTGTCTGACTTTTCTAGCATCCAATTCTTCAGGGCGTAGTTCAGGTTATCCTTGAGCCAGCCACAGGCTATCTCTTCCTCGTCGACCGTCTCGGAGAGCTTATTGTAACGTCCTATCAGATCCTCGTACATGACGTCGGTGAACGACGCGCGTTTGATCGCTTCGAACGCCATGTTCGCGATCGACTCTAGCTTCGCCCAGACCAGCTTGGTCAGCCTGTTCGACTCGTAGTTGCAACCAGATTCCATCAGTTTTGCGGTGCATCGCAGGAAATCGATCGTCACGAAGTCCCTCTCGTTCGGTATCACGCTGCTAGGCGTCCAGTGCATGATCACCAGGGACCTGGCAACATACAAGCGGACGCGACTTGTTGTTCGGATCGAAATAAAAAGGTGACGCGTACGTTTGTCTGTTAGACACGAAAAAAACACGATCCCGCCAAGCCCGCGAAGACGACTCGATAATAAAAGAGCAATAACTTGTGAAATATTTAACGACGCAGAATGTTTTCGCGACGGCGTGTTTGCGTTTCGCGGGATACGTTTATCCAGCCACGTAATTATTCCCAACGAAACGCAGACAAAATAACGAAAGAGCAAACGCTGGACGAAGGACGAAAGTGTCGATGACGTTCAAAGGGACTTTGGAGCTGCGCGAGGAAAATTGCTTTCCGCGTAGCCAATTTCTTAATCTAACGAGCACGACTAACCGGAGCTTTGCGCGAAGACGCGAACAAATATTTGTCGCGGTTTTCAAGGTTGAATTTACGCATTTGGAACGGCGAAGGATTCACCTTCGCTCCGAAACTCTGGCTGAATTTTTCGGCGCTTCTTCGATACGTTGACGAGAAAAAGTACTAACTTGCTAATAAATAATTCATTTTCCTGCTATCATAGATAAACTCACCAGCGAAGACTTTAACAAATGTAGGATCTAATGCACAAAAGATAAGCAACCTGTTCCACGGTATTTCGTAATTTTACATAAGAATCCTTCGTTCGAGCCGCAACATTCATGTATTGAAAGGTATTCTGGTACCTGTTATCGGCTATTGTCGTCGCGTTGTTCACGGCCTGCATATATTCCCTGGTCAAAGTATCCGTTAGATGTTTCAGATGGGGCCCGACCCAGGCCACCTTCACGTAGAGTTTCATCTGCTCGATGTCGGGTACCAAGAAATCAGTGACGTCGGGATAACTAGTCAATAACAGAGCGCAAGGTTCCCCGTTCTGACACCGTTCTGGAACGTACATTCCCTGCCGACACTCCTTCTTTTCGCAATAGTAGGCCCCGGTATTCGAATCCATGGTGAACCTCTGGATCATCGACAACGTGGTCTCGTCCACTCCGAAACGAGCCGCTGACTCTAACCTGGTGAAGGTTACCCAACTGTCGTCCAGCCTCGATAACGCTCTCGGAACGAACCAACCGAAGTGACCTGGCGGACCAACCGATCCGCATTCCTTCACGTAGTTCATGATTAGCAGAGGCATCGTGTCCATCTGGGGCGGTATCCAAACCTCCATGTTCACCATCGGCTGAGTAACTCTGCGCAACGTAACCGTCGATCAGTACACGTTGTGTTTCGAACAAATAAAAATTGAACTATTCGATCGAAGATAAAATGTTTACGTTTGGTTGCTCGAGTGCATCAGGACTGCGTACGTCGCGTTGTTCAGCCTCTTGAAAACGTCGCCCGGAATGAATTTATCATCCTTCTCTATAAGAGCGACACCCGAGTACCCGAGCACCTCTGTCAAGAAAATCTTCATGATCATCGATGTCAGCCTTTGAGTCACTCTGCGGGAGACCTCGAAGTTAATGTTCAACACTTTACCGTCCATGGCTACCTCTCTTCTCTTTGGGTTAATTTCTGTCAAAGAGAAAGAAATCGATTTGTAGGTATTTCTTAGGCATACGAAGCGCGACAAGAGTCTGTATTCTCTTGTCATGCTTCGAACGTTTAGAAAAACCAATTAAGTTGTTGTAACGACGATGATTTACCTTCGTACATAGTTAGACAACGACTAGGTACTACGGCTCTGGCGACAGCCAACAGGACCAACAGGCCCAATATAGATCCAACCCTTAACATCATGATTTTCTTATCCTGCAAAAAACGAAATCGTACCGTTGAAGAACACAATTTGCTACACTTTGATCATCCTTTATACGGAGCGAACAATTCGATACTCCGACATACTGTTAGCTAGTTTTTGATAAGAATTATCTTGACTCGGTGTAACGGCGTCATCTGGTACGAAAGCAGAATCGTGTGCCGCCTCGGAATTACCATCACAATGCCTGATCGCTTCCGGGGTTGCGAAAGAAGAGATCTCCCTGTCACGCAAGTGGACGAAATCCGCGCGTAGAGAATACCTTTGTCATTCAATGAACACCGATTTAGAATCCTGAGGCTCGCGAGCAAGCCTCTAGGTCTCGGTGGTTACGATCCGAGCTGACAATGCACGCGCGCCTGTATAAATAGCAACAATGTGCCGCGAAGATAATCCCGCTGTTGAACTGCCGTTGGTAAATTTAACGTCGAAACGAAGAGAAACGCGATCTAGGGAGGGAGAGAACGAGATGAGAGAACCAAAGCAGAGGACTGACGCGATAAGTATCAACGACACTCGAACGGTACAAAGTATCGATACGGTGTTGTTGCTATCGGTGTGTTTCGTTCAGGTGGGGCGTGTGACGGTGTTTGGAGGGGAAGGAACGGTGGATGCCTGCGCGCCTCGACGTTTGTTTACAACGACGAACAGGAGAGCACGAGAGTCACGACGACGAAGGTGACGAGAAGCAACGATCACCACGTGCTATTATTAGCCATGAGCGGAGGCATCGCGAACGACGTCGGGCGCTTTGACTTTTCAACCCATGCACGAACGTGGGCGAATGAACTGCGCCGTTTCTGTACCTGGTCACGCGTCCCAACCGACTCCCGGAGTTACTTTTATTTTCGATCGAACCGCTCTTCGGCCGTTCCGGTAACTGGGACAAACGCGCGTATTCCCATGAACGAGATCATGACTAACACGATCGTTCGGAGAACGGAATCTAGCGCGTATCCAGCTGCACGGAACAATGTCGTTCCAGGAAGCAACCGGTTTGATGTTGTTCTCCGGAGACGCTGGAGCTTTTATCGATGACCGAACCGGTGCTTTCGACCCTTCGAACGATCCCAAACACATCGCGCGAACCGATGTTAAACGATCGACGTTTTCCAAATCTGGAACACAGTTTTCCGGTTCGTCTTGGACAGCGTCTTCCTCGTGACCTTGTTTCACGTAGCTACAAATGGGTGTGTAGGTTCTTTCATAGTTGTTAAGAGAAACTTTTAGGTAAAGAGAAAACTAAACACGTTTTAGACATGGACACAAATGACCAAGTAAGAAATGTCGATAAGAACGACTTCAATAGTTATTATTATATGATAGAACACAGTAGATACACAAAAGAAAGGTTGGTATTTGGATAATGATGGCTCAGGATTTATAGAATTAAATGAATGCAAGGACTGTATTTAGCACGAGACTGATGTTTTGCTGTGCTTGGGTAAATCGAAGAGAATTTCAGTGAAGGTGTCTGACCCACACTGATCGAATCCACTCGCTTAACTTCCACGTGCCCCTGGGATCCTGAGCCCGACTTGATCGGGGCAACCTCATTGCACGGATGCTAAGGGGGTCTTTAAACCAAATGAAAGTACTAAAAGAGTTGTAAACATACTCTTTCTATCCGAGAAGTGAGAATGGGGAGAACCTAGGGAACAAGAATGACTAATAAAGTAAAATTTAGCAACTTGTTTTTATATTTCATTGAAACGCGATAATAACACATTTTGCAAATTTTTATCACAGTTGCAGATACGGAACACGGTAAACAGAGATATGCAAGTTTTTCACGTGGAAGTATTGTTAGCGCCAATTGTGTTACATATGAAAACATGAATTCGACGGGCGCCAGATGACTGATACCACACAATTATTCCGTCAACAAAATAACAAGCAGGTGTTCAACTACAATGCTTAAGCATAGAGAAGCAGCCTTCTTTGAACAACGATAAACATTCTAACCGTACAACAAATCACATGAAACCTATTGTATGTAATAGAATGAAACAAAATAAATTTTAATATTACAAATTTTATTCGTTATTTGTGAGGTCTCGGATCGAGACTTTTGAACGAAATGTGTAAACTGAGGGAAGGGTCGAGTCCCTGGAGCCCCCCACCCTTTCATTTATACCAACCCTGTTTTTGTGGATTGTTAATGCAATGTCCTCGAGCGTCGACAAAATCGCATATCTCCCGCGAGAGAATTAGTCGCAGCTGGTTTAAGCGTTTGACATGCTATCGTAGTACGGTAAACTTGAAAACACGGATGACGCTGGTTATTCCACTTTGTGCGTCATTCGCCGCCACTATCGTCCAGATAATCGAATCGTTTACACGCGCTGAACAATCGTTGTGCACTTCTTGAAGTAGATGAATTAATTTATTTAAAATGCTTCGGACTCGTGCGAGATACACGTGTTATTTTTTGTCGAAGATCGTTCGATTCCATACCTAGTTGTATCGGTATAATTAAATTCGATCGTTCTAGTTTACCGTCTCTACAAAGGAAACGTCACACGGACGGTTGAGCTTCAAGAACACCCTTTAAAGTCACGACATACCCAATTTATCGATAGCCGTTGAAGTCATTGATCTCCAATAAACAAAGTAATGTATATAAAAGAATGTTAAATTTAATAACAAAGCTTCCACTACAGATACTGTTCGCGATATTCTATTTTATAGATCGACTTTCTATTAATATATTCTACACGGGAGAACGATTATTTTTACTATCGTCATTATCGTACACATCTGCGGCGCGGTACGTATTTAACTCGAGGTTAACGATATTAAATCTTTTTATCCGATGCGTTCCAGTTTCAATTACCTATACATATTTATAGACGGCAGGGTACTAATCAATACAAGCGACGAGCATCAATTTTATCTCGCTTTCAGGAATTAATCGACGATGCGTGGAATACGCGTCAACCCTTAAACGACCATGCGCTTTTTATCCGCGTAACGTACCCAATGATTATAACGAACCCCAAAGGAGAAACTCAAGGGTTGGTAGGCTTTTTCGCATATATTAACATTAACACACTTATTAAATGCGCAAACCTCCAGAACTGTTGTTTCGTGGGGTGGTCCTATCATTATGAGACGTGCCTTAAAATGCGTGGGATCCTTAATTGATCCCGGAGGTCTGGGTCAGGCTAAATTATTTGACTTCAATGAACTCACGACAACTTAAAAAATCATGATCACGTCATAGGATCGAAGAGACTAAAATGGAGGAGCACCCAAAATGGTACGTGTTACTTCGCCTTAAGTGATCGAGCTCTTAACGGAACAAGGGTTATTTCAAAAGGTGATTTAACTCCACGAGTCAATGACACGTCTCTCGAACCGATCGAGTACTCCGAATATTCGATGACCGTGTCGAGCAACGTACTTGACAGCGATACCGCAATTTATCGGAACTAGCGCAGATATTTTCATCGATGTTGCGTCATACCGTGGCCCATCAAGAAGGAACGAACGAAGAATACCGTCAGCATCGACTCGGAGTTTCGAAGTGGGCGACAAATGACGCAGACGATCTCCAATTGTATAGCAATGTTGTAGCAATTTATTACCTTCGCGGAATAAAACCGTCTCGGGCTACGAGCCGTTTCGTCGTCGATGAATAAAACATTATGGGAGGCAGTTTGACCGGTGAAAATAATTCGATTAACCTTTATCGTGAACCAGAGCTCGCCACTTAAATTATTTTACCCTTCTGTACGACTCACGCCCGCGAAGAAAAGGGAACTATTAAAACAATTCTTATAGGCGACTCCTTCTGTTGCTCGCTTATCTGCCACGGTTCGCGTAATTCCAAATGTAAACACGTTTGCTCTAGATTTTCCATTGAGACCGATAGACTTATGCAAACAACATGCAAACGCTCGGGACTTCAATTTCGCACCTGAGTTTCTTTTTATGCAAAACTGTTGAGAATAAAGCATTGCATCCGTATATTTTTAATGGAAATTTGTGTCCAGTAGTGCGGTCCCATCCCTTACTAAGGTCAGTGCTACCTGAGGAAGACAATCATTTATGGCGCCCGCTGAGCGTCTCGGCTTTTTCCGAGCCTCAAGTTCAGTTAGCAGAAAACCATTAAACTGTGAATAGTATTTCCGCTTGTAAAGCTATTATACCTTAATTAAATATATCTTGGATCGAAACTCTGTTGTATTTATTTTACAAATACACCTCGAATCGAATGGGACTTAGTGAGAGGAAATAATGGCGACGTCTCGATCTAATTTGATGCGAGACACGAGTTGAATTCTTTTGTTTACGTTTGATATTTAATGATGCACGAATACTTAAGTCAGGGCAAATTCAAGGTGTGGTAAGAATCTTGTAAAATTTCAAGAATGTCCGGATTGCGGAAACGTGTAGTTAAACGTGTAAAGAAACAAGGCGATTGCATAGCATCGTAACATTTATATGTTCGATAAATGATAGTTTAGATAAAAAAAAATAATTCCAAGGTCACGCGTGGTACAAGCAGCCGTATGACGAAGTTTCAGTTGTAAGGTATAATTATAGAAACAGGTTTGCGCGTGCGGGTCATTGTAAAGCATTCTGACGTATTGGGTACAATGTCATTCTCGATGTAACAAATCGCCAGATTGCTAAAGGCTTGTTGATCTTTATGCGTGCCGCGTAAAAAATGATCGAAAGCGTTGGAGAAACGATTTATTTAGTATACGTTGATACGTTAGGTTGGTAACCATAACCTAACCTAAAATTGGTTAGCATAAATACAGAGGTAAAAATAGTTTTATAACGAAACTTTTATAACGAAAGTTGTCAGGAAATTTCGACCGTAACCGCTGGATAAATTTAAATAAATCTTCTTATATGCTAATAAGCATCGATGAATTTTCAATGGATTTTCATAAATATTGACAGATATTGATAAATATTAATAAATGTTATTAAATAGTAATGAGTGTGATGAATATTGATAGTTATCTTTTATTCAACA